CGAGTCGCCGCCGCACCGCGCACGCACCGCCGTGCACCGCGCGCGCGCGCCGGCGACTCGCCCCCGCTCTCGGTTCAATCAATGTGAACGTCTTGTTTTGTCTGTCGGCGTTTAGGCGATATTTGCCAGTTGTATCCCAGAGATAATTGACTTAATCGGCACTAGACCCAAGTATGGCGGCACCCTCAAGAATGAGCGGGGACGCAGGTGAGCCGCTGTCTTCACTCCGTTCCGTTGAATGTGTTCCGTGTTGTGACATCTATTCTTCCTTTTCCTCTCTTAGCACGCTTCTGTGTTCTCACTTATCTTGGCGGGACGAAAGTCCCGCGAGTTGTCTTTGTTTTTATGAGTCGATATTGATTGTAAATTATCTTTGAATTGATTTGAGTTCAGTTGAATAGTGAACAGCAGATAGTGGCTAGTGTTATCGCTCGTCATTATAGGTATCATGATTATGTTCTGTTAGTACGTACGTAAAGTAAAGGAATGTTAACGTAAAGCTTAGTTACGGAGAGTTAAATGTTGAGTGGTACCGTACTGTAGTGCGTTGTTGGAGTTCCGGTGTGCGTTGCAAGACAAGCGAGGCGTCGACAGCCCGTCCCTGCGCGCTGTGGGCACGCGCTGTTGATGCGACGCACCCTGCCTTCCCCTCCCGGCCTGGCCTGGCCCGCGCCCTCCCGCCGTCCGCTCCGCTCCGTTCTACTCCTGCCTGCACGACTTACTGTTACTTGTACTTGTACTCTTAATGTTGACCCTCTTAATGTTTTTGATATCTGTAATGTAATTTTGAGTCGACCCCCTCGGTTATTTTAGTGTAATGTATTTTCGTAAATATATATATATTCATAGAGCGTGGCAAGGCTGTGTGCATTGAGGACATTTTTAACGCAAAATTAGATTAGTTTTATTGAACATATCATTTGACATGATTGACATCATCCTAGCAACAATACACCAATCATTTTATGAAAAAGTTATGGATTGAATTTGGAAACTGTTTGCAATGTTTATGGATCGTATTAAAGATACAAGGTAGACAGATTTACTGTTTATATGAATAAAAATGAAATCAGTTCCTTTGCCACACCTTAGATGAATAATAGTTGCATGATCGTGTAGACATGAGCTGTTTGCATCCTTTGGTTTATACTTTTTTATTTTCTGCTCTGTGATGATTTTCTGATACTTGTTTATATTTTATTTAACATTAACCTTCATATCACTTACGGACTGTCGACTCACATTCCAACAGACGAAGTGTCCACCTAACAGTGTCGATAAGAACTTATTAAGAATTGCGACTCTGGCTCCAACATGATACAATATTATTGTAAACGTAGATACATACATATTATATATAATGTGCAAATGTTACAAATATCCCAAATACATAAACTGTACTGAGATGCAAGCTTTTACTGTTTATATACAATTTTTATCTACACACAGTACGAAAGTATGTCGCCGTAGCAGTTGAAGCGTAGAGTAATACGTTAATAAGTTCAGAGAAACACGTGCCATATACTTGTTCACTATTTATTTATATAAACCACAAAGTAATTAGATCACAAGACAGAATATATGTTACTTACTGAACAGATATAAGTAATTATTTATCTAAGTACCTACATGATATTTTATGCTGTGTCTAGATAAGAATACACAAGCTGACTCTTTGGTAAGACCTGCTAAGACCAAGGCATTTGCTTAAATAGTACGTTGTGTATATTAGCAACTAACCAGAGGACGTTTGGCTCTTGATAAAATAGAAGTGAAAGATTTAAAGTTAAGTGTCTACAGCGCAGAAATAAATGTCTTTGGCAAGCCTACCGAACAGTCAGCATGTCAACATGTAGCTATTCAAGTCATTACAACACAAATATTTCTCCTCCATGCAAAGTAATGCTATTATTGTTGTATGTCCCCCTTCAGACACTACATATGTCCTGCAAGCGACCTCAACAACCCCCTCTCCATAGCCGTCGTCTCATTTTATTTTATTTTTTAGTGTGGTAGACAGTTACACAAGTCCTGAACGAAACTGAGCTTTCTAGATATTAACGTTCATTTATTTGTGACCGTACTTAAATATAGAATTGCCATTTTGAGGGCCTAATGTTTGCCAATTATACAATAATCATGTCAAAGATTAAATGATTCAAAGTTTAAACTCGAATACGGAACACAAACTAATGAGCTTATAGATTTAATATATGGACGTTTTAATTTGCAAACTACGTCATTGTTTTATACAAAATCTATTATAATTAAATGTAGCAAGTGTCGTTGACAAGATGTTGTATTCATATAAAATTGGCGATACTAAAACAATGGCGTCGTTATTGTATATGTAGCTTCTCTTCACGCTTCTATCACTTACTGTTTTGTTTAACCCTGCAGTGACCTGTTTCTTTTCAATATTTTATTACTTACCAATTACTTCCATCTGGTCCCAGGTGTTAAATAAGACTTCAAATTGCTGTTACTTCTGTCTTTTCCTTCTTCTACTTTTAAGATATGCTTCTTGAAAATTTGCTTTTTAAAAGAATCAAGCCAATGTAAATGATTTACTATTTTAACAACACGAAGCTTAAAAATAATGACAATTTTGCAATTTTCCAATAAGTTATTTTCAAACTTACAAGCTTTGAGATTTTCTGAGAACTCGCTTCTGAAGCTTCTTTCTTTGTTTTTCAAAATGCAAATTGATTTCGTAGTTGCACCTTGAGTGAAGCGGAGTGGGTCGGTGTTATAACATGCTTGTACGGTTTCAGGCATATTGTGGTCTGTGGACACATAACTTACGAGTCAGTGAGCCATTTTTTAAAAGACTTCCTACATGAGGACAGAGAGGATGTAGACGTCGAAGTTGTTTTTTTACACAGGTATGTATGAACATAATCACTTTATTATAAGTATATTTTCTCAAATCAATCAATAAAATGAAACAAGATATAATTCTAAATTCACTTAAGTTACATCAGTATATCTTATACTTAACTGAAGAAAATGATTGCTGCGTGCCTAACTGTTACAATATTTCACTATGGCAGCAAATATACGATAGAAGAATATTGTAAACATTAAAATTTTAACTGGAGACAAAGAGACAAGCATCAGTTTTTACATATGTAGATAGAATTAATATGATCTACTGTATAACGTTTAAAATATTCTTCTACGTACTTACTAAGTTACTTAATTTATGTGTGACGCATTGTTCAGTATATTGACATCCGGATATACTGAAACATATAGTTGAACCAATATCATATAAGCAATGTAAAGGATGTATCCTTGGTGGCAATGACAAGTGAGTGCCTGAGTGGGTAGGTGCGGCCCCTGGCGTCGCATCGCGTGTGACTTAGCTTGTGCCAGTGTCGAGGGTGGTGTGTCATGTATGCTCCGACGACGCTTTCAGAAAAGAGCCCGACCTTGAGCTGGAAGGTCTCCTCAAGCGTCACTACACCACCGTCGAGTTTTTTCAGGGTACAATGATGAATGCCGTCGACCTTGAACGAGTCAAGGTTAGAAAACAACCATAGAGCAGGCATTAGATTAACGCACGGCCGTAATTCTCATTGACGCGTCTACGTGAATCAGTACTTTTTTTTATTTATTTATATGTGCATAAAACAGAACTGTTTCTTCTGTAAAGATGCTGTTTCATAGTCACAGTAGGTATTGATCACTTTGGTAACGTTTATCTTGTGATTATTTTGATGCAATCATTGCTTCTCACGGTGCTGCGAGGCCGCCGAGGCGACCCCGCACCACCACACGACTGCGTATTTTCGTACTAGAGTTGCATGGTAAGGCCACGCCAGGCGGCGGACTGTCCGGTAACCATGGCAGGTTGTTAACTGAGCGTTCATGACAGGAAACCGCCCGACCTGGAGCTCGAAGGCCTGTTCAAGAGGCACTTTACCACTGTGGAATTCTTTCAAGGCACCATTATGAATCCAATCGACCTACAGAGGGTGAAAGTAAGTAAATGTGACACACACAAAAATAAGAAAATGGGCGTGGTGTCGGTTTGACGATGTAACATATTGTCTAGAGTAGAGCGATGCTCGTAACCTATCGCGCGAGGCTGTGGCGCGGCGCTCGGTACGATGTCGGAGCCCGTGAGCCCGCACGCTACGGAGCGCCGCGCGGGACTGCGCTCTCTGCCCGCCCACCATGTGTCTGATTGGGTGTTGTTGCAATGCTGGCCCGTTTGTCACTTCGATATCGATTTTCTGTACGATTCGATCGCAATATTGGCATTAATGGCTGCCGAAGAAAGGGTTTCCATTTCAAAATTAACATTTTTATAAGTAGTCGAGTACAGTTATCGATTGTCGATATTTTTGGGTAAGTTGGCATGGCTTATGGAATGGACGCGCTTGTCTGCATTGTACTTCTTCTTTGACCCCACCTGCTTCTTACGAAATGATTACCACGTAATTCTATTGATAAAGTCGTAACATCGTTTGATGATTTCTTGTGATCACATAATTGCCCAAATACTAAAACAATTGAAATCATAACGACGTGGTTTTCATTTTTTATTTTCAGCAAATGTTCTGCATGCGCAACTTTCACGCTTTTGTAAACCTCAGCTTATAGAACGTAGTAGTACTAACATACAACCTTTACTAATATATGTCTCTGTCTTTCCTCCTAACAATTGATGTGTTCTAACTCTTGATAACTTAGTGTGTTCTCGTTTGATTGGTAAGTGTTGTGACCCATCAATGTTTATTGCTTTATGCCCCAAAAACTGCATTGATATATGTATTATTGATATATCCAAGCAATACGATGCTTGTGAATGCAATGTATAATTACAGTCTACTGGACCATGCTGCAACTCTTGTGGCTTCCAATTCGATTTGTGAGCCCTCCTTGTAAATGACTGTTACCTGGTTGCATCCCCAGCTAAAGCTTAACACAAACGGTGTAAGCTTGTCATGTGGATGGTACCTACAATGAGATGCTTAAAAGTGATCGTCGAACATTAACTTTTGGGCTCTAAACCCATGTTGAAGTGATCAAACAGTAATTTATCTATCACATTAAAGCTTCATTCCCACCATCTCAATGACAAGCGCTCTTCAACAAGATCTTATAACTGGTGTAACATGTAGGTACATGAAGCAGACGCGTGCCTGGTGCTGGCCAACAAGTACTGCCAGGACCCCGACGCGGAGGACGCCGCCAACATCATGAGAGTCATCTCTATCAAGAACTACTCCGACGACATCAGGGTCATCATACAGCTGATGCAATATCATAATAAGGTTCGTATTTCACATATCTAGAGGTATGAATATACCATGTATATTTGTATACGAGTCTCCAGGTTTCTACATAAATGTACCAACATTTTGCAGGCCTACCTCCTAAACATTCCATCATGGGACTGGAAGCAAGGCGATGACGTCATCTGCTTGGCGGAGCTGAAACTGGGCTTCATCGCGCAGAGCTGCCTCGCGCCCGGCTTCTCCACCATGATGGCCAACCTGTTCGCCATGCGCAGCTTCAAGACGGTCAGCCTCCTCCTTTACTACAGCACACACTATAAACTACCCTCGAGTACTGTCAGAGACCGACTCCCACCCTCGGCCGGATAGCGCTCATGTCGCTCTCTGAACGTACTCGGGTTCTAACGATACTATGCGGCATTTCCACAGTCACAAGAAATGGCTATATGGACTAATGACTACATGCGAGGTACCGGCATGGAGATGTACACCGAGACACTTAGTTCCACGTTTATCGGGATGCCGTTCAAACAAGCCGCAGAGTAAGTGGCTGCGAACGAGACGCTTTCAATAACGTGACACGAGACCACGTCACACACACCTTTTATACATTACCAGTGTTTGAGCAACCCATCGTGATGACAGGACAATCAATACTAACCAACTACGAGATGCATAGCTTATCATTTCAGTGTTTTTGTTTGCGAGCTTATCGTCTGCGATTTTTGAACAAGTATCGGTGTTTTTTTTTCGATTTCATTATCATAGGTACTGCACTGAATAACGTTTTAGCTGATAACATGTAAAGAAAATAATATAGGACCATGATAATACTAATTGTGAATAGATGTATAATATAGCCGACGACGGAGAGCAGCGAGCAGCAGATCCGAGCGGACGCGATAGCCTGTCGAGGTGGCTACGACTAACATAGCACGAGCTTTAGCGAATCCTATTGGTTGATTGCAGTCCCCCGACACACAAGCTTGGCAGAACGATTACCTGCAGGGTACGGGCTGCGAGATGTACACGGAGACACTGTCGACCTCCTTCACGGGAATGAGCTTCCCGCAGGCGAGCGAGTAAGACCCCTCGATCCTTGGGCCGCCTGCACCGCACCGTAGACACTGTGTGCCGACTTGCTAACCCTAGCTATACCTGAGTGTGCACTAATATCTGATAACCTAATCACCGGTAGCCTGGATATCTTAGTACTAAACTTATTCTCTAATTTTTCAGAATAGATTGTGCATGTTGAATGGGTAATTTATTAGACGATAGTGGTATGTATTCTATTCTAGACTAGTACGAGCCGTGCGGTCTACATCGACATCCTTTCTTATTATTCCATTTATCAACTGATTTAAATTTTAAATTACACCCCGACATTTGATCACCTTGATTGGTTCATTTCAACGAAACTGACGAGATCAAAGAATTACTTCAGTGCAGTAAAAGAAAATTGTAAAAATTCTGCCATTGGTATATATCATTTTCATGACGCACTTCTTGGGCTTAATTGCACATTTTTGTATTAAAACTTTTGGAAAGTATCATCAACTTACAGTTCAATTATGGTATTTGGGTACTTCATGGTTTCTGGTCTTCTATTTATGGCGCTTATTACGTTCTATCTATATGGTAGGAATATATATGTACGTACGTATGTTAAATACACTATATATTTATAATATGTATCAGTAGAACTATAATGTGCATGATTAATTCCTGTTACATGTATGTATAAAAGTATATAATTATTTATATAAATTAAATAGTGGGCTTCAGTATATAAAAGAGCTTCATGTTTAAAAAACGATCCTTTCTAGTTGTCGTCTGTAGCATGTGATTGTATTTAAATAATTGTTCTTATTTATAAAGTAAAATAAAGTAATGGTTAGTACCATTTGATGTTGATGTATACATCTGTATCTGCCAGTAAACCTGCTGGCGTAAGGCACCATAATAATGAGGTTGAACTTTAATAATACTAGTCATTAGAAGCAAGTTGGTAACTTGATCTGAATAGTAATAAAATTAAGATTTCTTGTTGTACCTATATCCCTACAAGCTTTAAATTATATCTTAGCTTTTGCAACTAAGTAAACAGAAACTCGTAATGAATAAAATATAATTATGGAAGGTGTCGGTACATCATGTTACTATCCTCCAGATTATGCTTCACGAAGCTCAAGCTGCTGCTGCTCGCCATCGAGATCAAAGGCGAGGAGGGAGCCGACAGCAAGATCTCCATCAACCCGCGCAGCGCCAAGATACACGCCAACACGCAAGGCTTCTTTATAGCGCAGTCCGCTGACGAGGTCAAAAGGTTAGAACTCCCTGCCCCTTTATTTTCTTCCAAAACTAATACTCCTAGCTGCTGGTAGATTCTTACTTTACGCCTGAACAGTGCAAGGAACTTAGCGACTCTTCAATGTTCGTAGACTTTCAAATATAAGAGATTCGTTTGTTTTGATAGCTTCCTGCTGTCGTTGACTACTCTCTTCTAATGACTGTTTGTCGCCAAAGTCGTAGCGTCTCTCTCCTTAGTACTTACTACAACTATTATCATTCCAGAGCTTGGTATTATTGCAAGGCCTGCCACGAGGACATCAAAGACGAAACGCTCATCAAGAAGTGCAAATGCAAAAACTGTAAGATCACTGTATTGCTATCATTACTAATACATTGCATTCTTTAGCGAGACAATCTGTACAGAATTCTGAACATACAATACTTTAAGCTAACTTTCTAAACTTGAATACTATTCTGTGACATTCTTTCTGGAAATATAAATGTTGTAACGAAGTGTGTCCCGTAATATGTGTGTCACTACACAAGTGTACTACACGTAGGCAGTAGGCCCGGCCCGTTGGCCGGCTCGCACACAGACTCGCTCGACTCACTCTCTGTTTTCTTTCTACGTGTGAGACATTAATGAATATTGTTCGGCTAAACTTTTAGTGACCGCGCACCAGCGGAAGGTTGGAGCCGACATAGGTAACTTGCACCACACCTAACCTCACAACTTGACGTTTTCCGATATTTATTTTTCGTGTCTATAATTTTGTTGAGTTGCTTTAGTGGTGTTGCGTCCGTACCTCACTGACTGGATCGGCTGCAAGGCATTATCTTGACCCGTGCTCGTTCACACCCTATACTTAGCGATCATTGTGTATGTCCGCTCGCTCGTGAATGGATTCCGCCACAAGATGAAGCACTCCGACACTTCACCATTTTTCTGCCTTTTGAGATATTATTCGCTCTGTTTCTGTATCGATTGAGAGGATTTAGTGCATCATACAATACCGCTTAATATTCACACCCAATCAGGACTTGTACATAGTACTTATGAATTGATCACACAGCAATCACATGTCAAAATTATTTAAAGATAGCTGCGTGCAGCACGCAATGCGCTGCGACTCTGCAGGAGTTGAACACGATTGCTATGATGCACTTCTGAGCCCAGCACAGACAGTACTATGCATGTAAACAATAATACGTAGACCTAAATACCGCAAACTGCAAGTGCACCGTCATGTCCCCGACACTTAGATGTATAATACTGTACGTACTTACTCGTAAATATGAATCCACGAAAGCATGTCTCAGAACGAAAGGAGTGAAGATCTCAAACTGCTGTTAAGATTGCCCATCGAGAGTGAGCTTGGAGGACAAAGACTTTGAGGACAGTTCCGGCTTGTCTGTGCTAACGACAGGGACTAACACAGGGAGGGAACTGAATGCAGTCGCGATCCATCATATTCATCCACGCTTTGACAGAATCAAATTCAACCGCTCTCAACACTGATCGACATGACACATAGCCTCACTGCACTGAATTTGATTCTACCAAACTCATTAACACAAATAAAACCATAAATGCTAGGAGCGTACATTCGTATTGTCAGTGTTTGGATTTTTACAGATGTTGGAATGATGATGATGCAGACTGGGATGGTGAAACAAAGTCTTAATACGTACCGTGCTTGTCTCGACGGTACGGAAACGAAATGACAAATATACCGTATTACCGTACCTTACACACGTATAGTTTGTTTGCATCAACTAACCATTGCTATGGTCGAATTGATACTGGGCTACAATATACCAATGCTAATACACGATAAAACGACACACGCAACTAGTATAGCGCAGCTAGGCTACGACACTATATTAACTACAGCTCGCTTACTACGCGACATAACCTAGGTAGCGACTTTCAGCTCTCAGTTGGACACTGTCACGACTGCCGCCATGTAGGAGCTGGCCTCTATTACTACCGGCCGGGCGTTGCCGCGCGCTGCAGTCCGGCCGGTACTAATAAGGCCATATTATGCGTCTCCATCAACTACTATTCCCTACTGAGAGAACTCTAGCTTTGCATCTCTGTCTGCATAAGAACTGTTATAATTTGCGTATCTTCTGTTCCACCTATTACAATTAAAACAGGTTAAATTGAATTGTGTAACAAGTGAGCTTAAACGTATTGTTTCTCGGTTCAGTGGCTACGTTCAGGAAGGGCGTACGAGCCGTCCAGATGGTTGGCAGGGCAAGTACGTAACCTTAATGTGTATAAGATTCAGTGTACATGTCAATGTGATGTTTGTACGCGACATGTGGGGGGGTGACTCCTGGCCACCGATCGCTAATAGCAAACGTGTCCTGTTTTATCATTGTCTTGTCTTATACGTTTCTATATGTGCATTATACAGCAGTTAGATGTTTGCCTCTCTATTAGACGATATTAAAACATCGAGAGACATTATGTGATGTCGTTTATTTATTTTGGTGTTGTTGTTATTATATTATTATTATATCTCAAAATATTTTTCTAGGAGTATTTTGATCCCTGATTTTCTGCATCGACATAGTCCCTCAGATATTGATGTTGTGAAGTAATAGATTTTACAAGAAATTCATTTATAATTTTATTCTGCTTAAGAGTTGAAAAGATGAGTTAATGAGCCCCTGCATAGGGAACGTTTAGATGCTCCCGCCTCGATAGAACCGCGCGGACCTAGCAGTCGTTAGCTGCTGCGTCCCAATCTGCCGAACAATTTGGTATACTCGCCTTATTCTTATCATATCCCTGTAATATTTACAAACTCTAATTTCATTTGAGCCTTCAGTTCTTAGTACGCCAGTGCCATTCTAATCACACCATGTTTTCATACTCGCATATCCTTTGCATTAGCCATGGTAATCCCTAGGGTTCTAAATCCATTTAATTCAAGATGTGAGACATAATATTCTAGCACGTAGAGCTTGTCTACTAGTTAGAGACTTTCGTTTTGTGTGTCGTTTGTATCCGTAGCTTTATGTTTGTTGCATGCGTGGTGGTAGGTATTGTTGTATCCTGTAGCTTTAATATGTAGCCGTGATTAATATTTTCTTGTTTACTAAGTAATTGGACTGTGTATCGGTTTCATCTTTAGCTTACTTTGGCGCTTCTCTCTGGACGGATACGTCTAATAACTTCGTGCTACTATATCTAACACCTAGAAACAAAACACGTTGTTTACTAATCTATGCAATTCAATATCAAATATGCTAATTGCTTTCAAATATTTGGAAAGATGAAACCGATGATTGTATACTGAAGTGATCTGAGTCTATTTGGACAGACCGGGCTCACGCTGTACTATACGCGATGTGCTGTAGGAACTGTATTTACTGAGTGGAGTGGAATGCGAACTTGTGCTGATGTTTTGCAGATGATCACCATCCTCCCCCCACCTTCACGCCGCCAGAGTTGCCCAAGAAGGTCCATGTTCGAGGTACATCTCAGGCTCCGAGCCGAGTGTTTTTTTTTTTGTTTTCTTTTAATCATCGGCCCACTGATCCATTTGACCGGCAATATGCTTCGTCCCCGGTTACCGGAAGGTACCGTGCACCTAGTTGCTTTGTCACGCATTACTTCATAGCGCGCACTGACAGTGGCGGCCGGCCCAGCCCCGGCCAGCAGTAGTTACACGTCCCGCTGCCGCTCCGCAGAGCGACACTTCTAAATTAACAGCCTCACATTAAATTAAATTTCACAAAAAGTCCCGAATAACTAAATTGTAATGAACACGAATCAAAAATCATTTTGTTTTTATTTTACTTTTGCATTCACTATTTCAATGAGTAACGAGTGAACAATGATTGAATTGTTTCATCGATTTGTGCTTCTTGGTATACTCTAAAGCGGATGTATTATCATTTGTGGTTTGTACCCCTCTGCCGCGCATTGCAAATATTCATGGCATTGCATTTATTTGTCTGAATGATTAAATACCTACCATCTTTATTAAAAGAGTTGCCAATTCGTGGATGATATTACTGTCTACTAGTGTTACCAGTTAATAATACAAATTATCTACCTATACCCAAATCAAACAAATCTTGTCCAAAATTGGCAACGCTAAAGTGAATGCTATGTGGGTACATTTATGCTTTTGTTGTAGAATATCGATTTCAAATTAATAATTTTATAATAATTATAAGTGTACCTCAGTAACTTCCAATTGTAACTATCTTAATTATAGAATTCGGAGGCTGATATGACACTGGTCAAGTCTCTTAATATTAGAATAAAATAAAATAATTTAAAATTTTTCTACGTGCATTCAGTAACTTTTTAAATTAGTGTAATGTTTGACAAATGAAGTAAAGTAAAAGTAAGAAAAGTGAAATAAAAAAGTAAACTCACGAGCTTTGCTACTTCTAGCACACGTCCGCGTTGAGTAATATTTCCGGATAAATCTTAGTTATTGCCTTTCAGGTGAAATTGCGAGAGAAAGAGGGGAGGATACTAGTTGTAAGTATTAGAATTAGAATATCAATAAAATAAATATTGTGTGACTTGTTCTAGCTCCCAATGTTTATTTCATCAAAGGAAAATATATTTTCATAACACATTGGTCCTTCCTTCTTTGGGTAATAAGAGGACATAAGCATTTAAAAACAACAATGCATCACAGGTCTATTTAAGACTAAAAAAGTGTACGTCCACATAGGAAAATGTAAATGCAACTTAATATGTTGCCTGATCACAGCTAAATTTAATAAATGCAAACTCCTAAACCAACAAGAAACTTTTAAAAGACGGATAAAAATTCTTGGTTCAGTAATAAATCGCAATCATCGGAGTGCGGCGCCGACAACGCTGCTGTCTCCGAGCGCGAACCAGCTGGTGAACACCACCACCACTAGGCAGGTCAACAAGGTGAAGCCCAACGTCAACAGGGCACCACCGGACACGTGAGTCGCACACACATTACATACTCATTCGTTTTCAATAATTTATCAATGTCCTCGAGTGAGGATACGTGATGCAGATTCATTTAGATTATCTTCTTTTCAAATTGTAACTTACAAACGTGATAAAATCATTGCTGCCCTTTTAACATACTTAAAAATCCTTAAAGAAGTTCAAAGACCCAGCAGTTCAAACCAAACTTAGTTCAAGGGGGAACCCCTTCAATCACGTATCAACACTCTTCATGAAATAACGCTATAATTGTTGCTTTCTCTGGAGCCAAGCAACACAACCCGTGTACTAATTATTTCAAGTCCTATCTTATGGTCAAGAAACGGCTTCAGAAACTTAGAAACTAGCCCGTTCCAACAATCCCCAACTTATAATATTAATATTAAAATATGAATATAAATCTTAGCTATTAAAGTCTCTTCTTCTATCCCTAATTTCTCTATCTGTCGCGGCTTCTTATTCAAGTATTTAAATTATTTTTATTTTAGCACAGTGTGCACAAGCACTAAACTGATATTTACCTGACCGCATTTATTTCCTTTAAAAAAAGAACGGAGACGACTCTTTGACCCTGTGTTACAGGAATCCCCAGGATCAAGATACCAATTACCAGGCCTATCACCTTGCCTACGAAGTGAAAAAACTCATGTAATTGAAAATTATTCAGCTAGATCATTTTATTATCAGTAGTTTTGATATTTGCAAAGTACTTGAATTTTTTTACACGAGTTAAGTCAGCAATGTGTGAATGTTGCCTACATTGCGTCCGCACTGCACGGTCCCCGGACTCGCCAGTGCTGACATCTGCGCAGACTTTCCTCGACAAGTTCGTAGCGAGTAGTGCTTGCCTCACTAGTCAGATATTTTAGTTCGAATACGTAAACCAAATTATTTTATTGTTACCGTATACTGCACTTGAATTGAGCACGACACATCTACAGCATGTTTATGTCACTTTATGTTTATACACATGATTATTACATATGTCTGCGATGCATATTCTTGTACATTTGTAGTTTAGATATTGTCATTGTCCTCAGTGCCTACAACACCTACAGTAGCTTTAAATTGTTCCACTTGTAATATAAATTAACTTCAATTATAAGTTAATTCTAGTAACAATCCGATACCAAGTCTAATTCAATCAATATAGTACCGCCCAAAATCCCCCATTGTAGTGAATTAGATACTATTGTCTTCTGTAGAGGCTATTCTTATTTCTCTTTATACATTCAACCCACCTACCCAGTAACAGAGATTTAATTTGTTCCCCTAAACCTCTCAAATTCTTCTATTAGATTAAAACTGAAAAAGATAAAAACGAAAACTATAAATGATTTACATAACATGTAACTTGGACACAAATTGCATGTATTTTATGAACGCGTTTTCTAATTGTGATATTTGCACAGGCCTACGAGTAGAAGCAGTGGTGGGAACCAAAACAGCAATGGCGTCAGCCTGCCCGCGGGCCTGGCTGATGACCAGTCGAAAGATTTCGACTTCGAAAAGACTGAAATGAAGTATGACTCCACTGGAATGTTCCATTGGAGCCCTGCGAGGAATTTGGAAGATTGTATTTTAGTAAGTACCTGTCCTAGTTAAACTTAAAACCTTGGAACCAAATTAGCTTTGCAATAATAGTTCTAAATTAAGATTTGAGCTCTAACTTTAGAAGAGCTACAGATAATCTGGTTTACTTTTTGCAACTTATTAAAACTCCTCTCGTCTATCTATTTTTATCTTCTACAGGACCGAAATCAGGCGGCCATGACAGTTCTAAACGGGCACGTGGTAGTGTGTTTGTTCGCGGACCCTGACTCGCCGCTCATTGGGTTACGGAACCTGGTGATGCCGCTGCGGGCATCCAACTTCCACTACCACGAGCTCAAGCACGTCGTCATCGTGGGGAGCGTCGACTATATTAGAAGAGAGTGGAAGATGTTGCAGAATCTACCAAAGATTTCTGTTTTGAATGTGAGAAATGACTTCTTAATTCATAATCTTCATAATGATTTTTTTCTGCGACCATTTTTCTAACGATATGTCATGTTCGACAGGGTTCACCGCTAAGCCGGGCTGACTTGCGTGCAGTGAATGTGAACTTGTGCGACATGTGCTGTATCCTGTCGGCGAAGGTGCCATCAAACGATGACCCGACGCTGGCCGACAAGGAAGCTATCTTGGCTTCGCTGAACATCAAGGCGATGACGTTCGACGACACGATAGGAGTGCTGAGCGCCGGCGTCACCAACGGCAGCAGCGCGGCGCCGCCCCCGCCTGGCGCGCCGCCCGCGCCCGTCTTACTGCAGCGCAGGGGGTCCGTCTATGGTGCCAATGTGCCTATGATTACTGGTTAGTCACATATTTTCATTTATCTCCCTTCCGCGATGATGTTACATAATAATATCTTCTTTAACAACTCTGGACTTTCAACTTTACAATCTCCCGTTTTCCCACAGAGTTGGTGAACGACAGTAACGTGCAGTTCCTGGACCAGGACGACGACGATGACCCGGACACGGAGCTGTACCTGACGCAGCCCTTCGCGTGCGGTACAGCCTTCGCCGTCAGTGTACTCGACTCACTTATGTCCACCGTACGTTGACACAACATATTCTATTCTTTCATTGATTGCGAAGTGCGTGTCCATTTTAAATGAGCTTGTATTTGTTCCAGACGTATTTCAACCAAAATGCCTTAACGTTGATCCGCTCGTTGATCACGGGCGGCGCGACGCCAGAGCTGGAGCTCATCCTGGCCGAGGGCGCGGGGCTGCGCGGCGGGTACTCCACGCCAGAGAGCTTAGCTAATAGGTAACCGCACAATACAAGCATATCTTATAAAATGTATACGACTAGCGGCCCGCCCTGACTTCGTCCAGGTATAGTTCTGTAAATTACATCCCTACCCCTACCCTACCCCTACCCCTACCTAAAGTGATTATTGTACAGCTTCTCTATAAACAACATTTGACGTTAAATTATTTTCCTAAGTCGCTGCACACGATCGACACTCGACTCTCTTTCGCGCAACTGAGTGGTCCTTACATTTTGTTCATGAAGACGTTGGGAACGCTCCAGCCTCGACTCTCGTGCACGTAACTCGGAGGTTCTCAGACTTTGTTGTGCAAGGCGTTGCGAACGCTCGACACTTGACTCTCGTTCGCGTAAGTCAGAGGTCCTTACATTTTGTTCATGAAGACGTTGGGAACGCTCCAGCCTCGACTCTCGTGCACGTAACTCAGAGGTTCTCAGATCTTGTTGTGCAAG